ACAATAACTAAAGCGCGAACAACGTGTTAAAACGGGGATATCACAACGACGACTGATAGAGGCACTCGAGAGAAAGTGAATATTTTTACATCGCACCAAAATTAAAACTATATATGAACAGAGCCATTGTCTACGACTTGCTTAGAGATAAGCTGTTTTCAATAAAGTTAAAAGCTCCACTATTAATCAGTGGACTGTGTATCTCTTTCTTACCTTTGTATCCTCTCATGATTAAAGACTGACCAGAATAGAGTGGAGGTGAGACATGAACAGCAATACAACACAGTACGTTGGTGGCGGTGGTGGTGGCAGTGCAAATGGTAAGGAAGAAGAGAAGGATGAAGAAGATGTTGTGGGTGATGGTGATGTCGATGAGTCGTCGTTCGATCAGGGGGAATGTTTGGAGACGACCACCACTAGCACAACAACCAACTGCTCTAGTACTTTGCTATCTTCCCTACTGGCATTTCAAAATAATGAGACAATGGTTCGTATTTGCATTTTATAAACATCGTTCATTCAATCAACAACTAAAACAAATATTAAAAATTATCCTGTTAAAATTAAATTAAACTTATATTTTAATTTATCCCTTCCTTATATAAAAGATTTAAAAAAAAAAAAAAAAAAAAGAAGAAAAAAATTAAAATGTTAAAGAAAATCCGTGCAATTTTTAAAAAGTGAGGGTTAAAAAAGATGAAGGCAAAAAAAAAAAAAAAAAAAAAAAAATTGAAAAAAAAAAAAAATTGAAAAAAAAAAAAAAAAAGTAAAATAAAAAATACAATTTTTTTTAGTGATAGTAAATTACATTCTTAAAAAATAAAAATGCAACAGTTTAACAAGACATTAAAAATACTACTCGAAACTCAATAAATCACTTGAAGTCATTTTAAATTTATAACAGGTGGCCAAAAAGATTCTTTTTTCTCGTTTACAACGAAACAAATAAAAGAGTAAGACTGGACAAGATTTGTTTAGCAGTAGAGTTCAGACAGAGTTCTAAAGAGAAAATAATGTTTATCATCCATTGATAAATAAGCTTATTAATTAATCATTAATTATTCTCTTAAGACTTACGAATTTTCTTAAACTAGTTTATCTTATAAACTTACTGCTTTTAAATCAGACTTTAGTTTGAAATGGACTTTAAAATCATAAACATCTTTTTTAAATTTGTTTTTTAAATCCTATTACAAATTACAACGAAATTCAGTCGATTTCTTCTCCCTCTTAAATTCCTTCAAAGTAGGTAGGCAAAAAAAAAAAAAAAAAAAAAAAAAAAAATTGAAAAGTGATGTTCAATGTTGTCAATAAAAAACAAATTAAATTTAAATCGTTAAAAAAAAAAAAAAAAAAAAAAAATCAATATGACCGGATTTCAACAGTATGCGTGTCTTTATTGCTGTTAATTGCATAGTTAGAGAAATCACAAATGTTTTTTTGATGCACGCACACAATCTACATGTTACACTGGTCTTCTTAACATCAGCGGTGTTGGTGGCAAGTGTAGCATTGCGCTAAGGTAGCAGGCATTAGGGCTGCTGCTGCTTCTTCCTCGCGGTGGCACGGGCACCGACTGAGAGGTGACCAGAGTCATTCCACCTGAGGAAAAGTGAACAACATCTATTTCACTCACGTAAATTCGGGAGGGGGGAGTGGTCTACATTCTTTCGAAACACTGAAAGAATTGGAGGAAATTGTTACCTTGATTATTGTATTTTTTTTGTAATGTGCCTAAGTATATAAAAGGTCCAATCTATGCCATAAAAAGAAATGATAACTACACTAATCATTCTAGTTTAAATGGGACATTTTTTTTTTTAGGAATACTGCCATACTAAGTTTTACTCTTCTTAAGTTTGCAATACATGTCTCACGATTACCAATAACAGGAATTCAATAAGTGTGTATATTTGGGGGTGAGAGGCAATGTTTTTTAAAAGTAAAACAAAAGTATCTTCGTGTCAAACAAAATTAAAAAAAAAAAAGTTCCTAATTTCTTAAATGAAGAGGAACTCTTTCCAATGGAAGGTTATCATCCAACAACAATAGATCAAAAATTAGATTTCAATATCATAATTTACTAAGTATTTTAAACTTAGACAAATTTTTAAAAAAATAAATAAAAAAAAAAAAAAAACTAAGCGATAAAAAAAAAAAAAAAAGGTCAGTTATATTTCTCGTGGAATAAAACATTTTGTATTTGGAATGTTTCACTTGTGTAATTCATTTTTTTATTACAATATTTACAAATACTAGACACGAAATAAATGCATTGTATTGTGAAGAAAAGGTGGTTAATTTCTTTTACGCAAGAAAATTATTAAACTCGCATTTTGAGGTCAAAATTAAGACAGTCACTACAATCATTTTTTTTACCCTTTCCTTGATCTACTTGATGTCCATCCAGAAATGAATCAATCATGACGAAGCCATCGATAATGCTCTTTTTTTACTTTACGTACTAATTATTTTAATTAGTTTTATTTGTGTAAAAATTAAAAAAGAAAACTAAAACAGTAGGAGGGTTCTCTCGTATTCTTACGCTTCTTCGGTCATTTGTTTATAAATGTAAATTATTAAATAGTACCGTACTGTCGATTTTTTGTTGGAGAGGGGGGGGGAATGGGTTATACTTTACTAGTGATCAAAAAAGAAAATATTATTCGATATTCCTCTTTTTAAGTTTACAATTCGTCCACAATTATCAATAACGAGAAAACAAAGTACCACTCCCCAAAAATTTCTTACTTTCCTCTAAGTGTCAAGTGAGATCAAAAGTTGAACTCTGGATTGTTCGAGGAATCATTTTCGAAACCTTTTTTATCGGAAGAAACGACTGCTTAGAAAAATATATCGAGCACAAATCAATAACAACAATGAGGCAAGATAAAATATAACACTTTTTTGTTAAAGACAAAAAAGTAGCCTTATATTTCAAACAGCGATATTTTTTAAATTTTATCACCTGAAAATTGCTTTGCTTTCAAAAATGACGAAAGAGGGTGTGTACTGTAATTAATTATTAATCGATCGTCAAAAGATTTAAGAGTTTTTTTTTTTTTTAAAAAAAAAAAAAAAAAAAAAAAACTTTTAAAAAGGACTCTTTAAAAAATAATTTGAGCACTAAATAAATAAAATATGAAGTTAAGCTCAGAAGTTAGAGAAAGTTTACCGGCCGGGTGTCTTTTTCGATGGTTCTAAATATCCGAAGTCAATACCATCAACATTATTACTAAAAAAATAAAAATATTCCCGAATGAAAAAGTGAGAAAAAGAGCCACTAACAGAATTTCCTCCACATTTAATTTAATTTAGTAGTCAAACAAAACTTACAAGGAGTCAGTAACTAGTTTTAGAATTCAGTTAATAAAACTCAAGAATGCTCATTTGTCGTTTAACGTTATTGTATTTTAAATTACAAGATTTGAAATAATAGCACCTTACGTTAAAAAAAAAAAAAAAAAAGGGTGAAGCAGTCAATCAAAAAATAAATAAAAAAGTATTGATTAAAATAAAATTTAAAGTGTGTTCTTTATTGATTTTCTAACAAAAATAAAAATCGGCATTAATTGACAGAAAATCAGAATTAACTTTGCTTTGATGAAAAAGAAGAAAAACAGATATAATGGGTGGATGACAAAAATAGATTATTCTTTTTACCATAACTCATATTGTGTATCGATTCACGTGGTTTAATAATCATGTCCAGGACATGACAGAAAAATATAAAACAAAAAAAAAAGTGACAATGCGAAAAGATAAAAAAAAGTCGCATCAGTGTAAAAAGTTGAGGAGACAAAGTCCGGAGCTGTCTTACTTAACAATCCACCGCCTTTTTTTTTTTTTTTTTTTTAAACTTTTTAATCACCTGACCGAAGATTAGCAGAAAAATAACGTCTACTAACAATTGAATAACTGGGCCACTTCGAGTAAAGAGTACTGAATTAAGTACTTTATTTTTACGTTCTTAAAAAGTGATGACAATTATAAAACAATTAAAAAAAAAAAACGAAGACGTTGGAAAACTTTCGTCACAATTTACAACTTCAAGTCCAAGAAAAAAAAAAAAAAAAAAGAATTCTTAGGGACAATGAATAAAATTCCTTTCTAGATTCATTCATCTTGACGGCTTTTTTCACAGGTTAAAAACTTTTAGAAGTTTTTTTTTTTTTTGGGGGGGCGCTCAACTTTTATTTGTACAGCAAGTTTGAAAAATTTAATTTCGAGGTGGGCAAAAAAAAAAAAAAGAGAAGAGAAAAGAAATAAAATAATTTTTTAAAATGACATGACTATTTCATCATCAGAGGAAAAAATTACCATTATTGCCAATAAGTAATTTAATTAGTTAAATTTTAAAGGAAATTCACATACGGAAAATAAATCTACTGCAATTTACTGGACAGTACTTTTTTATGTGTTTAAAGAGGAATGAACAAAAAACGAATCTTTAATCAATTTAAAAACCTTAAAAAAAAAAAAAAAAAAAGTCAAAAAAAGTTCTGTTCAAAAAGAGAAAAACGCAAATCAAACAAAACTACTTAAAAGAAAACATTACGAAATTTTTATATATATAATTAATAAATAAAATCATTTTTTAAAGTTTGTAAGAGGTGTAATTAAACAATACTGCAGCTTTCAAAAAGAAATGACATGATGGATTAGAAATAGAAAAAATACCCAACCACATTTTTAACCGGAAGAAGCGATTGTTTTTTCTATTGAAATTTAAAAGGAAAAAAAAAACGCCAATAATTTCTTATGTGTTCGAATGCACGAACATACAATAAAATGAAATCAGACATACACAACAAAAAAATTTTAAGTGATATGCACCATACAACCACATGTAAAATAAAATGCACACTAGCAATAATAGTAGTAGTAACCGTAGTAGTCTAAGTAGTATGATATACGCATGTAAGTTTTTTTTTAGAGAGTGTTGTAACGTCGTACACGCACATCGCACACCTTTTTCGACATGATTATATTGCACTGACCTTGCTTCCGCACGGGCATGTTATTACTTGAATATCACTCCAATATGTATCCGTCCAATGTTTCTTCTTTTATTATTAATAATAATATGTGAATAAAAGCCAATGTATCACCTCCGGGGTGGGTGGTCAAAACTGACTATCCTGAGAAGAGAGTGAATAATAGTAAGTCACCACTACAGAGTAGTGTCCTGTGTGGCAACGACGGCAGCAGCAGTAGTAATAGTAGTGGAAGTGGAATTACTAGTAGTAGTAATAGTAAATCAAACACAAGTAATGATTAAGTTTGTGTATAGGTTGGTAATGTGTAAGCAAGTTAAAACAGGACGACGACACTTCACACCCAATCCTGGCCAAGACCTTTTGATTCCCTTATCTTTCTATTTTATCCACTATGGTTTCTTTAACTACTACTAAAAAAGATAGTAGTAGTTACTATCTTTTTTTCTAAATTAAAAAAAAGTGTTTTATCTCCTTTTTTAATACATTTCATTTCATTGCAATCATAATGTGTACGTACAGTGACAAATGTACAGTAGAGTTTCAAATAAAATATTTTCGTTTAATAGGTCGGCCTGGGGAAATTTGTGTAACCAAAGTTAAGGATGTTATTGTTAATAATTTGTACGCGTAGTTCTATGATCCTACTTTGGTTGATTGTTGTTGTATATGCTGATGATGGTATGGGACACGACAGTATTAAAAAAAAATGTAGCACTAAACATCATCATCATCAGCAGCGAATGGCTGGCTCAGCAGCAGTCACTCGATAGAAAGACTTGATAGTAGTATTAGTAGCATTTAATCACTCTCTCTCTATCGAATGTACAAAATAAACAGGAGGTATATGGAAGCAAGAAACGTCAGCAGCTTTCGTACAACTACTGCTGCTTATTTTTAAAGGCACAAGCGGCCTTTTTGATAGTTTGGTTTTCTTGTAATGCGTTTAGAGTAAAGCAGTTAGTAACAGTTTTGGTTGAATGTTTATGTCACAACGCTTTTAATGCATTAATACGTTTTAGATATAGAAATGTAAGTTCTTCAAAGATAAGAAAATGGAATTGATAGAAGTGGCCCTTTTATTTCTTTTATTTTAGCGCTGAATATGGCGACCTGCGGCAGTTGTGTCACGTGGCTTCCATATCGCTAATGACAATAATAACAACAAGTCTTGTCAAATTGTGATCCTGCTTTAAAATTAGTGCGTAAAATGATAAAATTTGATAATTAAATAGTGACTTGTTAATGTGGACAATTTCGAACCTAGGTTATAACTTTTATTTTATGGGAAAAAATATCAAGTAGTTACGAGAAGCAATAAAAATGCATTCCACACAGCATGTGGATACCATACCATAAATTTCTTTTAAAAAAACTTGTATTTTTATGTATAAAAAATATAAATTACAAAAATAATTAATAAAATAATGGTGGGAATGTATTCTCGTAAGTTGCGACATGGTACTTAATGAAAATTGAAAACTTATTGAAGTTCGAAAAAAATAAGGCGAACCGCAAATTGTATTTTTTTAAAAATGCTCAACAAATACAAAATTAAAAAGGAATTTGGAAAAATGTAAAAACTAAACAATTTTTTAAATTATCCAGTGAGTTCTCAATTCTATTCACTGATATTTTCTTTTGGGCGAAAGTAAACAAATTTCGCAAAAGTGAAGTCCCTCTAGGTGTTTACGCGCGCCTACGTCGCAACAGAATGTGACACAAGAAAATCGAAGTTTTAATGTGGACTCTCGGCAAAGCCATAGAAAAAATTGCTCAAGACCCCTCGACAATTCTTCTGGGGTCATTATCCGCCTCAGATACCGGATAATGACCCCCAGCTCCTTCCCAACGGAGAGGTGGTGCCCCGAGGGTGGGGGCTAAAAAAATATTTCCAATCTCCCCGACATGAGTGAATCAGCCTCTAAGCTAGCTTTACAATTACAAGCTTATTTTAAGTTATTATTTCAGTTATTTATAACCTTTCGCACACTTTTTGTTCAGCTCCTAAGAGCTAGCTTCATATGCAGCACCTCCCCCATTGTAGTAAAAAGGAGGAAGTCAGAGTCTATGTACCCGTGAGATTCCCACTTTAAAACCGGCTTTGTGCCATATTCTGTTCCAGCGGGAGGACTGATAAATTAAATACCCATACATCCTTTCCCTACCCTTAGCAATGTGAATTTTGCAGATTTGAAATGTACTTCACAATGACATTTTATGAATTTTTCATATTCTTTTACGTTATGACATTACCGTACATTAAATAAAACTAACAATTAACATCCACCCATACATCGTAGTGCATGCATATTATGATAGTTACCACTTCGTTGTCGAATATGACCATTGCAAAATTGAAAGACTTAATCGTCATTTACGATATCAGATAATGACTGTGTATGAAAATGTTTAAAGTAGAGAAAGCCGTTGTTGCACTGGGACAATCCCGCTCTCCAAACAGAATCAGCATACACTCAATAAAAAAAAGGACCAGTCAATATTATCGGATGGTGTCAAGCCACATGAGTTTTCCTTCTAGTTGGATACTTTAACGAAGGTTAAGGTATCCAACACTCCTTGTAGATTTAGCACGCCTGGACACCAACCCAGATATTCCTACAACTCCAACCTGTGCTAGATGACAGTTGTTCCCATGAAAGGGTCTTGTTTTTAATCCTGCTGGGTGACCAGTTACTTTAACTTTCATCACCAGAAAAACCTGGTGAAGTTATTGGATTGTTTTAGGGTGTTCCAGAATTAACTGTTTTAAAACTCACTTTTTTTTGTTAATTATATTTAATGTGTTAGAAGTGTCTATTAATTTTTATTTTGTTTGTAACCTTATAATTTTTAATATTTTTTTCTAATTTTATTTTCAATCCCTCTCAGAACCCTATTAATAATGAGCAAATACGCAAGAAAGCATCTTTGTTGAGGCCCCTGGATTTCTTTGCGTGAGCTTTCATAAAAACAAATGTTTATCATCAAAAGATCAATAATTTAGCTGAGCTTAAAGAACGCATTATATATGTTAGCAGTGCAGAAGATATAACTCCTGAAATGCTTCAAAATGTGTTTCGCAACGCTAAGAAAGGACAGATTTGCAATTTGCAAGGATACAGACGGAACACATGTTGAAAATTTTCAATAAATTTTGACGTAATATGTATAAAGATTCCCAGTGAAAAATCAATATTTAGTAATGTTCTAAATTTAATAATTAAAATAGCGTGTATTTTGTCTTTTCTCCACACTAACCCCTTTGCGTCTTATAGCCTTGCTTGACGTAAATTTATATGTATTTCAAAAGGGCAAAAAGCCGCTAAAAGGAAAATTTTAAATATTAGAAATTCGTGAACGTCTAAGAAAACATATCATGTTGTACTTGTAGCAAAATCGAGATTTCAACAAATCACTGTTGGTTTGAGTAAATAAAAAATTATCATTTCAAACAAATAGATATGAAACTTGCAATTGGTAGTGTTCAATTGAGTCAAAAATGCCAACTCGTTTACAAAAAACTACGCTTTACCAAAAGCGCAAAGGCTAGAGATCAAAAGACTTGCTGACAACTAAAATTATATGTCACTGTCAATATGTTTGTACTTTTTTCTCTTCCAAAATGTGAGCAATGATATTTAAAACGTTTGAATTTTCTCTATATAAAAAACATGTTCATTTCAACGAACATTTCGAATACTAAGACTGTTTACTAGGAAAAAAAATTACATCCACAAAGATCATCTTTCATATCTTTACAAGACACAAACTTTGATGCAAAAATATAAATAAATTGCAGTTTTAAATTTTAACCAAATAGTTGTGATCACCAAGCCGGTGCGTATTACCCCCGAGTCCCCAACCTAATTGGTCACTTTGTGACTCTGCCATGAATCAAAATATACTTTTTTTTCAACCTACATATACGTTATAAATTGAACTAAGCACAACTGACTATTATTAAATGAAAATAGATGAAAACTTCGCGGATTTTTTTTACGTAATTCTGGAGCCTTATTACTTTTTCTTCTTCCCAAATCCTTGAATTTGGTTTGCTTATGTTAAGTCTAAAACAACACTATATAAAATTCACTGTTTTATCCATAATGTTATTTGTTATTATTCAACTTTTTAACTAGAAAAATCTCAAGTTGATGTTAAAAATTGCCGAAAAAAAAACATTGTTGATTTACTTCTGATGAAGTGATCTATATTTACCATACATGTCTTTAATTTGTATTTCTAGATACATATTTTATTTTCAATTTTTTCAGTTGAATTGCATATGTATTTTGCATATGATCCATTATTGTACGTAATTAGGTTACAATCAAATTTGTATTTTATGAATACGACTTTATAAAAATTGAGATAAAATGGGTGGCCTCGCATCATATATTCGCTTGGTGGGGATGGGGGTTTTTAATTTGACTATAAGAAAATGGCCGTTTTAATTACCAACAATACTATATATTCAGTCGTATTTTCAATACCCAAAAATAGAGCTCTGAAACTTTTTTGCTCACATCTTATAAATTAGAGCTATTTCTTTTATAATGGCTATTAGTGGTAGTGATTATTGTCGAAAAAAATAATGTTTTTTTTAAGTTGTTAAAAAAAATCACAGACAGTTAAACACTATTTCTGTTTTATTTTCAATTTTTAATATTATGAATAATTAATGGTATTTTTTTATGCATAACTGGCATTTAAAACATGTCATCAGGTATTTTTCAATACGATCTAAAATATAATATTTTTTGTTATTTAAACATTTTTCTTTACTTTCTTCTTACAGTTTGTAAATCTTAATAAATAATCTTGAACTTTTATTTGATTTATTATCATTCAAATTGAATTTATTTTAATTTTTATTTCAATTCATTGTCGTTCATTTTATATCCTAAGAACGAACCGGTGGCTGACTAACAGTTGAAAAAGGCGGGAACAGGTGTGTAAGTAGTCGACAGTTGTGACCTACCTGTCCCAATTCGCTCAACAGTTGTGCATAAAGCGTTT